CAAAACATAAACCACTGAAATAAAATGAAGAGAGATTAGAGTTATAACAAAATCCAAAGACTGATCGATTTAAATTCATACTTAGGACGCATTTAAAAGCAACTTCTACTCTTTGAAAAGTGGCATGGAGGACTAAAGAATGCTTCCCCCAGTCACCCCACCGTCCAGCAACTATGTGTTCAACAACTAGGTTATCAGGTTCTCCTAAAGACTCACTGGGAAGCCTGCATCTATTAAGCAGTTTCAGATAGCCCAGAGCTTAGCCCTTGAAGCCTGCGTACAGGAATCCACAGTTTAATCTGGCACCTCCACTCCCTGCCCAACACAGCTGCCTGTGCTGCCCACAAAACGCAGTCCCCTCACCTGGGGGAAACGGTCAGTCAGGTTCCTTTTTGCAAGCAATCAGCTACCTGACTTTCCCCACCGACTGGTCTGCCAAAAGCAGAGACACTCGTTAGCTGGAACAGAGGATTAAACATATTCTGCCTGCTACCTGCCCTGAACATGGTGCTGAACTCTTGGTCCACAGGTCAGACCTCTGAGACTGGCTGTTTCACTCTCCCTTCTCCACGCCCCTTTGGCTGAGCAGAAGTCTCACTGATGGACATTAGTAGGACACCCCGAGAACCCAGCTTACATCTCTTTCAAGTATTAGGCACAATCCCACCATCCTCCCCAAGTCCCAGAGTCCCAACTCAAAGGCCAGTCAACCTCCCCCTTTAGCATTTAGATTTGTTTAATAGCATATACTTCCTGATACTAAAGAGCAAGAATCAATTGCAAAATCAAACAAATATAAAGCAGTCACAGAAGAAAGCGCTGCAGAATCTACTCCCAAACCACCTTTCAGCCTCATGCTCTATATTCCTTCATGGTCTCTGGTCTAGGGACAGTAAGTGCTCACCATCCTCCAAGCTTAAATGCACCCCTCTCTTCATGACAACTCCCTTCAAGCCACATTCAAAGGTTACACCATCTGGGAGGCTGCCTCCCTACACTGAGAGGAGTGGGTCACTCCCTCATAATAGCCCTACTTTCCTTCATAACAGCTCTTACTATCAGTCCGTCCAATGATGTGCTGACATATTGCTGACCCCTGGACCCCTGAGCTCAGAGGGCCAAGACGTTAGCTGTCCAGACTGGAGTCAGCACTGTGCCTCCTGTGGAGGCAGTCACAACTTTTTTCTTTCTTACAAAATAATAAAAGCTACTTTCAACAGGTTATTTATTTAATCAGCTGGACCCATACTTGGAGTTCTTGGTTGTACCATACAACTCCAAAAATGCCTGATCTTCCTAAGATTTGCACATGTCTATTTTCTACAAACAGGACACCAAATTCAGAATTCTGCTCCTTCATCTTCGTTGTCCTTTAGACCTGCAGGAAAGAGAGAGCAGCTGTCTGTAATTCCTGCCTGTCTGAAGAGACAAATTTGCTTTCTTCATGAAAAAAAATTCCAGGGAAAGGATCACCTGCCAGGAAGACCACATCCTATCATTCTATGTGAAGCTCTACCAAAGGAAGTTACAAAGACTGTCGCCAAGCTTTCAGTACATCAAACAGAAACTAATAAACAGTTCCAGGATAAGAGCAAAGAAAAAAAGTCATCAGCAGGTCACAGTGGGGCACCAGGAGTGAGGTGTTGCTCCGTTACTTTAAGGGGTGAACAGAAGACAGAAGCAGTAAGCAGGACTCCTCCCAGTCTTTTCATTATGCCTCACTGCAAGAAGCTGCTATAAATACACTAGATACCACAGATGCCCTGGAACTCAGAAAGCAAGCCCAGAGCACATATACACCATGTTTTCTTGAACCTCAGCATCCAGCTATTCTGAATGGCCCAGTAGCTTATCAAGCATCAAGGAAGAACAATGTTACCAATTAAACAATGACATGCTTTCTATTACTGATAATTCTCATTTTATTTTCACTGTAGAAGTTCTTTTAGACTCACCCAGATATACACCTTTGTTAATATATCACTCTTAGGCACTTATAAAAAGAAAAATAAAGGTGGAATAATTAGTTAAGGCAGTGACAACCAGGTCACCTGACTGAAATCAACTATAAAATGCCAATGATTTGAAAAGTTCACCCCAGCTATGGGAATGTTAAAATCTGAAAAAGATGTACATCATTGAATCAATAAAATACTACACTATGCTTAGCTCAGTGACAGAAACTTAGAAGGACAAGCTAACAGTTCACAAGGGTAACTGCTACAAGGACATTTCATTGATTAAAAAATGCAATTATACTGGGGAAAAGTTGAGATTATTCAGCTCGAGAGAGACAAAAGTAGAAAGAAATTTAATAATGTTCTTCAAGGACACCCAAGTCCTGTCCCCAAATGAAGTGACATTTTTAGAATTTTTCATCATTCTTTTCTTGTTTTGAGCAGCAAGACCTCTTTTTAAAATACTGTCTTTCTAGAAACCTGAATGTGGAGCTATTCTTTTCTCCTGTTTGGAGAAAGAGTGACATCCCAGAGATGCCTGTGATGTCACAGGACTCGTGTGGGTTGGAATCCTGACCTGGGGAGTAGATGTCACCCCTTCCTGGAACACCTTCTTTGCGATGGTAAATTAGAGCATGAATCTGATTTACAGATTGACTCACCTAAACATGAACTATGGTTTGTAAAATATGGAGACTTGCTAGGCACTCGTTACACACACATCAGTCAAGTAGGTAGGGGATTGTGTAGCCTACAAGAAGAAATTTCCTATCTGGCATTTTAGGCATCTCAATGACTGCCAAAGGGCAAGATGAGACCTTTCCACCAGTCATGAAAGGGTCCTCAACAGGTTAAAAGCCCTCCAGCCACAGCCAGAGAGGGGTCATACTTGCCCTCGAGGCCTGTTCTAGCTGGGCAGTGCTCTATCTGCAACATTAACCTTTTCCAACGCATGTGAGAGACTCTGCACTGCTTTGGCTCTTGCCCATGCCCAAACCTGAAGCCAAGCCAATAATTACTGTGCAGATTGCCCTCCAAAACAAACCCAAACTCACAACCAATTAGCAAGAAATTTAAGTCAGAAAAGGATACATGAAGCACTTGGTATTGGTAAAAATCCCTGTGAGATAGCTCTCGCTCTCCATGTTTCTCCATCTCCTTTTTCTTTATTTCTTCTGATATGGCATTGGTAAAAGTCCCTGTGAGATCGCCCTTGCTCTCCATGTTTCTCCATATCCTTTTTATTTCTTCTGATACTACCTCTGAAACCCCCACTGACTAAGCAATTCAGCCCAGGCTCTTTCCTTGTATATTCCATACAGCACAGCTGCTCGGTATCATCTAGTTGTCATTTAATACTTTAGGAATACAAACCACCTTTATTCTCCTCCACATTCAAATAGTTCAGCAAACCCAACCAGCTCTCCCCAAAGGAACAAGTACACAGAGGCTATAAAAAAATAATGGTTTAAAACAGCAAACTCTTTGGCTCTGACAACAGAATTGTGAATACCAGGGAGGAAGGAGATGCTGACTGCTTGATGGTGACTGGACACAAGTGGTGGGCATAGTGCAATATATATTCTTGGCTCAGATGAGAAACTATACCTGTAACCTATCAGTGTTATAAACTAATGTCCCTCAATGAAAAAAATCTTTTCACCAGGTAGTCATACCAGCACACAAATAACTAGTACATTAATAGTTTATGGTAAAAAAGAGAAAGCTGAATTTCCATGTGCCGGGTTATCAGAGTATCACAGCTCTTGTTCTACTGATGGCCAGGTGGGTTAGGCTTATCTGGTTGGGAAGGTGCCTTCTCTTTGCTGTGGAAGGAGTCATTTTGGTAAATGAGGATAATTCACCCAAGAAGGAGAGAATATTTCTTTGGCTAAGGGCACACCCTTGCTTTAAGTATCATCTCAAGTGTGTAGCACAAATCTCTTATCTGTATATAGTAAAAACTGGAATTTATCATAAGTGAGAAAAGTCAACTCTGCATCCCATTCTATTCTCTAGACATAGGAAGCAAGAAATAAAAAGTCTTCAACAGATGCTTCTCCATTATTCTATGAATAGGGAAAATGTTGTGTTGAAGCTAAGAAGACATATTTTAGGCCCATAAGCATAAAACTGGTGATCTGGTACAAGTTGGTCAGAGGACTTCATATTGAAAGTCACAAACTTCGGGCTAAGCACTGCAATCACCATTCTGCCAGCCCTCCCCATACCAACCTCACTGTATATTAGATGACTTACTGTTTAACCCCACAGAACAAAGTGCAAAGGATTTGTGGAAGCAGGGTAGATGCTTAAATTGTGTCCCTGTGCAATTTCAGAGATGGCCAAGTGTGGGTGTGCGAGTCCTAAGCGGCCTATTTGGCCACCATTTTCATTACTTACAGTTCTGTATTCCTGTGTAAGGTCTAAGCTGCCCTTTCAGTCAGTCATAGGAGCCCAACCCTGCAAGGGGCCTTTCAAAGGGTATGCATCATGAGTTATAACAGGGAACACCCTGGGGCTGCGACAGAACTATGACGAGGGACCCCAAAAGCTGACCCCTGGAACGACTTATTAATAAGACTGAAATCATGGCTGGGGATCTAAGTGTTTAAGACTTAATCTCAATGACAATAATGAGTTACCAAGCAGGTAAGAAGTGCCTTGGAGGCAGACTCAGGACCCCGGCTGGGACAGATGACAGCACACATTTTCTAGTCTCACCCCTCCCTTTTTTTCCTTTTGTCCTCCTTCCCCTTACAATTGATGCTGTATGATTATTATATCAATAAAAAGGCCAGGATCCTGCCCTTCAGCATCCCACAGTATGCTCTACGACTCCCACTTGTCAATGGGTGTTGTCAACATAACAGCCAAGGGCTCAGAGACAAGGACTCCGAGGCCCAACAAGGTGAAGGGAGACGATGCGGACACACAATCCCAGCAGCCAGAGTTAGGGCTAGAATCCAGTCACAGCACACGGTTAGAACTTGGGAATTCCCCAATTTCATGTGAGTCTCAGATGCATATTTCTTTTCTTACCAGAATTACTTCAAAAATGAGTGGGATCAGTTTGCTTTCTTCCACAAGTCTGTCAAAATAAATAAATAAATACATGAATAAAGATAAGCACACATGAGATCACTCATTTAAACTGCTAGCATGATATTAAGCACTGCCGCCCCCATGTTTTATTGCTTAAATTCTGGGACAGAGAAAATAGTATGATTAAATATTCATTTTCAATCTACTGAACTACATCCATTAACCACAAGAAATATGGGGGTTCTTTGCAAGTGAGTACTAGCTTAATCTTATTGATCTGTAGCAAGTGAAATCAAATAGATTGATATTTATAAATGTAAAAATTAACTAAGGTTCACAATTATTCTAAAGACTATCAAAATAGGGAATGCCAGCTGAAATAATGTAGCCAAACCTCACTGCACAGCTAAATTATAAGCAGGTCACACCGCAATCTTTCACATATGCCTCACTAGCAATCTTCTAGCAGTATTAATAAATTAACATACAATGACTTTTAATGATCTTTCACTTGCGGGATAAGGGGAGGGAAGGAAGCACCAATCACCCAATTGCCCTCAACAAACCTACTTAAAAGCTGTCATCCATTGTTAACTGAAGCATTTTTTTATCATGCAACTTAAAAGAAAATAGTCTTAATACAGTAGTAACTAGCATTTAGAGATATTACAATCCAAATATTCCTTTGGTCCAGAGGTCAGTAAATTTTTTCTAGAAAGAGTTAGAAATATTTTAGGTTTGTGGGCCACACATACTTTACAGCAAGTACTTCACTCTGTCACTGTAAAGTAAAAGCAGACATAAATAATACATAAGTGAATAGCATGGTTGTATTCCAGTAAAATTTTATTTACAAAAAATAGGCAGTGTGCCTATTTGGCCCACAAGCCATAACTCGCTGATTCCTGCTTCAGTTTTTAAAAAATCAGATTCCATAGAGAAACAAAACAAAGGATCAGGTAAAACCAAGCCAAAATCTAACCTTAGAAATCTGACTATAGAACTGAGGCTACCAGAGTAGGAGGGGATGGGGAAGGAGAGAAGAGAGGTGCAGGGGACATGGAGCAGCCGATGCTGCAGGACTCCCCACGCCTTGGTGGAGGGTGTGGTGTGGTAACACGCCTGAAGGGTGCGATCCTGCACCTCTAAATCATAAATAGGAGTTGTAAACCAGTGTTGCCACAATTAAAAAATAAATAAAAATCAGATTCCTTGGTTTTATTAAAATTCACTTCACATGATAAACCACAGCACTTAAGATAAGCATTCTGCCTTCCATTAGAAGTCTACATCTGCTGTTTGTCTGCTTCATATAAAATGTCAGGTAGATAGAAAGGGAATTTATCATTTGGCCTCACTGGAATTTGCTTGTCTGTGATAATACACTGATAAAAGAAAGCCTATGAGACTAGCCAAAAAAAGATCACAGCGATTACAAATACGTGTTAAGGGATAGTCCTCAAAGATGAAAGCATTTAGAAAACCCTGCCTCAGTATCCAGCAAAAATAAAGGGCCTGGCCCCGGGCAGGAGCAGGTAGCTGAGCACAGGGGGTCAGAGTGTAACAGGTACAGGTTTCATGGACTCCGCCCCTACTCCAGATGCTGGAACTCCAAATCCCATCAGTACCAAGAAGAAGCACTCCGGGACGTGAGGGTGGAGCCAAGAAGCCAGGTTGGGGTAAAACCGGACATGTGGGCTCTGGGGGTCTCTTGGCCTGGTGGTTCACAGCTGATCATTTTGACGCTCAATCGGGTTTTCAGCGTGCCGGTGGAGTCCAAGTCAGCAGGACTGGTAGGACATCCTAGTTAAACTGTGTTTCTCTCCCTCTTTCCCTGGGTTATTCCTTTACCTTTCTCCTTGTAAATAAATCCATTATTTAACCGTTTGAGTGTGTCCATAATACGACTGAATCGTAAGCGCACGCGTGAAGACCCACAGACAGGCAACCCAATTCACATTGGGGTGCCCTGTAACAAGAGCAGCCCACAGTAGGCCAGGGTCAGTCCTGACCAGAGAGACAGAGGTGTCAGGTCCTTCATGAGGAAAGATTCTGGGGCGCTTCTCTCTCCCGTGGGTAACTGGCAGGTTGGGTGGTGAAGATATGGCTGACGATGTCAAAACCTTTCTGCAGACTCTTGCCAGGGGAATTAAAGACTCTGCCTGGGAAATTTGCACCATCTCAAAGCTAGAAGCTTGAATTCGGCAAAAAAGAGAGGAGGATCCCCGAAGAAGGCCAAGTCCCATCCTGGCACAGAGGAAAGCCCGAGCATAGAGAAAGCAGGGGAGGGAGCGGAACACTGGTAGACTCTTCCAACACAGTCGCCGGTTTGGTCTCCTTCTGTTTCATCAAATGGCTATTCCTGTGCTCAGTCCAGTCACTGGTGACCCACCTCCACGCGCAGATGCTTGGTCTCGGCTGGAATGCTTCCTCAGGTCCATTTCCAGTGTCTTTGGATGTTCCCCCATTTGTGCTTAGCAAAGCTGTGGGCTCACTTTGGTTTCAAGACATGGCTGATTTTCGGTCTCAGGGAGGACACATCAACCATTCCTGAGTGTCAGCAAAGTAACTGCTGACATGTCTAACCTTTTGCTACAGGCCCTTTTCCTCAACCAAGGAATGTTGTGTGTCTCTTTCCCAACCATTGTGTTGAACAGCTGGTTAATTTCCTCTGCACATCTCTTCTCTACTCACGAGGCTGCTTTGACTATCACTGGCCCAATAAAGGAATTAAAATGCACCAGCATCTGTCAGACACAGAAAGGGATTGGCCTTACTGCTCTGGCTCTGGGTTGCCATTGGCTTTGCTCACAGCAGTGTGGTCTCGTACACTATCAGCAGTCACAAGTCAGCGCCAGTGAAGCACAGACCCCTGGCGAAGGCTACTTTTCTCATGTGTGCCTCTTCTCTCTGTGGTGGTTTTTTATTATTTATTTTATTTATTTATTTTTGCATCATTTTGTGCATTTTTCCATCTCAGTTGTAATCCCCATGGGCTTCCCATCACCGAATCACCCATGTGCCCTCACCATAGTCCAGTGCACTTCCCTCCCCCGCACCATTTTTGATCCCATTGCCCGCTCCACCCCCACAAAATGTCTCTGGTATATACCTGTTCGCCTGATTCCTTATACTCCTGCTATGAGAGAAACCATCCAGTATTTTTCCTTTTCTTTCTGGCTTATCACACTAAGCATGATCTTTTCCAGCTCCATCCATGTTGCTGCAAAAGGCATGTTTGTTTGTTTGTTTTGTGGTTGCTGAGTAATATTCCATTGTGTATCTGTACCACATCTTTTTAATCCAGTCATCCATTTTTGGGCATTTGGGCTGTTTCCATGTCTTTCCAATTGTGAATAAAGCAGCAATAAATATGGGGGTGCAGGAATCTCTTTGAATCAGTGTTTTTGTGTCTTTTGGGTAGATGCCTAGGAGTGGGATTGCTGGGTCGCATGGAAGCTCCATATTTAGCAGTTTGAGGAACCTCTGTGGTGGTTTTCTTAAGCAGGAGACTGGTCCACAGGACAGTCTACCTGCAGTCTGCCCCGAGTAGCTCAACCTCTGCCGAGAGGTCCCTTCACCACGCCAGGCTCCACCAGATGAAGGCTGCTGCAGGCCACCAAGTCTCCTGCCCTGCGGAGACTGGGGTGGGGTTGGGAGGCGGCTGTGGCAGCTCTGTTCCTGCGCCCCCTCTCGCACCAGGGATGGTAGCCTCCATTTTGCCAAGGGTGGGGGGACCCACTGCAGAGGCCCTTCTCTGAGGAATTGGAATTTTTTTCTCTCTGGTGTGTAAGGCAGAATCTTCCTGACACGTGTGTGGGTTTACCACCAGTGAGTCCGAAAGGACCACAGTTTTCTCGACAATTGCTTTCTAGCACTTGCCAGCCCCTGTGCCAGGACTGATTTGTTTGCTTTGTTCTTCTCCCTGTGCCATTTACCCTCCCAGCCACCCCTTCCTGCCATCCACTTCCACCAACCTTGGATGAATGGATTTTGCAATTCCAGCTGTGACTGTTTTTGGATTTGTTATTTTTGTTGCTTTTCTGTGAGGGACATAGATTGAGTGTGGGAGGGGCAGAAGCTGCTTCTTTGCTCCCTCCCAGTTGCTGCCTTAACTGCCCACTGCCTCTCTCTTGTTTCTTGCAACACAGGTTGGATTTTGGTGGTCCACTGCAAAAAAAAATGTGCCTAAAGAGATGGGACGGGAGGAAATAAACTCACAGCCAGATCTGTTAGGTTTTGAGGAATGATTATTTTTCTTCCTATTGAAGGGGAATAAAGCTTTTCTTACTGGTATATTTTAGAGTATAAAATTGGAAGTACCAATTTTGAGCAAATGCACTGCAACACAAAATGCTCAGAGAACCTGAATTTTTAAACTCTGAGGTGTGAATTTACTCTTAGTCACTGCCAGGTCTCCCTGGTATTTCAAAGGAATAGAGGTGGTACAAATATTAAAGCTGTGATTGGTACTTTCCTTTCTATTTTTTTTTAATAATAATTTTTTGGAAAGGAAGGTGCTCATTTTTTTTTTTAAGATTTTTTATTTATTTATGCATACAGAACTGGGATACCGGCCAGAGGTGCAGGTGCAGTGAGAGGATTCACCACAGGCAAGATTGGGGAGTAGAACAGGCAGATCGACAAAGTACACTGCTGAGGGGAGCAGTGTGTGAGTCACCTCCGGAACAGGGATCGAACACACACTGAAGCCGCTACGGCCAGCTTCACAGTGCTGGGCTTTAACCCACTGCGCCACCAGGGAGGGCTCTCTCTTCTATTTAAAGAGGCTAAGTATGGGAGGGGAAGGCATTTTAATTTTAAAAATTCACAATTAAACATGAGCTGTTTTACCAAGATGATAATGATAATAATAATTGTGTATTTCTGTAGTTTCTGTAGTAGGAAGAAAAACTTGATGACATATATCAAATTTATTGATACTCTTCCACTTTCGAGGGTAACTAAAGGTACAGATGTGAGGTTCGAGCTCCTTTTACCATCGCTGGACATGATGGGAGCGACCAGACTCAAGGCCAAGCGAGC